ACTGCCTGATCAATGGATAGATTCCCAGCAGTGAAAGTACACGGTAGAATTTAACCCCTCTATCAACCATGATGACAGTGACATGACTGCTGCACCACCACCCTGTGCGCAAAGGACATTGCTTTATCAGGTTCTCTGGAATACAATATTATAATAAAAACAAAATTAAATGCAAACAAAAAAGAGAAAAGGAAGTTTGATTAAGAGTCTGTTTACACCTCTTCGCACTGCCACACCTAAAACTTCACCTGTTTTTGTTTTTTTGTTTGTTTTTTAAATAAAATCCTGCTTCCTGCAGAAAGTACACATACAGAGCCATGACTGATACTGCATATACAAAGCACTACACATTTTTTGTGTGTCTGGATATAAAGGGCATCAGAAGTGTTGCTGGGCCCCAGAACCCAAGCTATTGGCCCAGAGTCTCCAGCGAAGTGTAACTGTTTTCAGGTCTGCAGCTATTACCTCCTATATAGGCCTGTTCATGCCTAGGAGTTTTGTAGCTCGAATGTCTAAGGCCTGGTTCACACCTGAGCGTTTTGCAGCGCGTTCCTACGCTCTGTAAAACGCTCAACATGTGAAAACCAATGATTGCCTATGGGCATGGTTCCCACCTTGGCGTTTTACAGCGCATAGGAACGCGCTGCAAAACGCCCTACGCCCAAAGAAGTACAGGAGCTTCTTTAGGGCGTATTTGGCGCGGGTATCCATTGGGATACAGCCAGGTAGCCCTCGGAAATGCGCATTTTTTTTTTACCGCAAATAAAAAATAAGTCAAGGCAACTGGACTTGCTGTATTTTTCTTCCAGTTGCCTTAACTTATTTTTTACAGATATACCATGACCTGGATGAATGAGAACCTTCACAGACATGTTGTAGTGCTTAGACATTCAAATTGTTTTCCCATTGTTTTTAAGAGCTGCTTATGTGTAGAGAGAATAGCTACAAATGGGAGAAGCTCTCGTTCCATGTAACAGACATTTGGGGCGATTCAATAAAGCATTTGCAACACATTTTTGGCACTATGGCCATATTAAAAAGTCCTGCGTCAAACTCATGAATGCTGTGTGACAGTTTTCTTGCTATTTCTGAAATGTGCAACAAATTTAGGGAGTTCTTATGTGCAACACGGTTACATTCTGGCAACAAATTTTGCCATATCAGTGATGAGAAAAGTAGGGGTAACTAAGACCCTACATTATGAATAAATTGTGTCGCACATGTAAGTATTGTGCCACAGAAAAAATTTAACTATGGTACTAAAAGTGTACTATAGAGCAAACAACAGACAGCAAAACTGTTTCTGTACCCAGGTCCAAACAATACTCAAGGTACTAAAGAAGGAAATATACCATTAGAAAGAACAAAGGGGGAGAAAGCAAAGAAGAAGAGATAGGGAGAACAGAAAAGGTCTTGAATGCTGTTCACCATGGTGCTTTACAACATGCCTAGGTGGCATGCCCAACTGTGCCCTGGGTCTGGTCATAAAGAAAGTTAACTAAACAAATTGTAAAAACAAATCGTAATGCAATAAAAGTGTTTCTACAACTAATAATATTAAACAGCAAAGCAAGAACACATAAGCCCAAAGACTTACTTCAAACTTTTGATTACTAGACGCTAGATTATTACATGCTAAAGGGGCCTCCATGTGTGCGGATATAACACAGTCATGGGAGCATCTCCTTCTATACCACCAAATACTGACTAATAGAGAGTCATGGAAGCAGGCAGGGTCAGGTTCTCAACCACAAGAACACCCAGTGTTTCAGGGCTCCTGAGATGCTGTACAAGGCTGGTGAGCACTGTTTAGTAGTAACCACAAAGAGCAACCAAAGTGCATAAACTAAAATTTCTTGTAGCGTCTGCAAATACCTGTACTTGTCTTTAAAAGGAGAACAATGAGGTGAGTGAGATTCACTCAACCACATAGTTCGAGTCGGCGTGTGACAATGAAATTGTCACACATCAGCTCAATAGATCGGGAAGTGAGTGAACACATACCGTCGCTCGCTCACTTCTCGATCATGTCCCTGCAGAGAGCTGTGACTGTCACTCACGGCTCCCTGCAGGGATTCCCCCCCCCTCTCTGATCCTCCAGAGCTGACTGGCGGAACGGACTGGGGAGGGGGAGGGGCGGTTACAGCTGGCTCTGCCTCTAGATAGGCAGAGTCAGCAGTCAATCACGCAGCTAGGTGGATCTCAACAGTAATGTCGGGATCCGCCCCCGCCTGCGGCGGTCTCAGTATAGCGTGAGCTGTAGCTTGTGATATACAGAGCTTTGGGTCACGGGAGGACGCTAGTTTATGTCCTCCCGTGACCCTAAGGAGAACTATGGGGAAAAACACTTACCCCATAGTTCTCCTTTAAAAAGGTTTCTTTGTAACTGAAAAGAGCCCTCTATCCCAGGCCTAAGCATTAGGCAGCACTTTGACTTCCAAGTTAAGATTATACCTTGCTTCTCCCAGTGCAAAGCCGTATTTTGGCACAAGCCTGGTAGCAGGGACATCCTCAGTGGGCTCTAGGAAATTTGCTTGGGATACACATGTTAAGCATCTTTGGTATATATGTTTGAAGTACACCTGTCATGAGAAAATTCCTGAACTCTTCTAGTGCTAGGTCCCTGACTGTTATGCTGATGCTAATGATTCTGTGTTTTCTGAGTCGATGAGCAAGTATAGAGATAAGGAATTCTGATTCCCAACGACAGCATGCTTGCCCCAGCTCAGTGACTCAAAAGTACTAAAGCCAGGCACAAACTGGCAACAAGCATTTTTAGAAGAAAGTAAGCAATCGCAGCACCCATGCTTTTCTCATGACGGGCACCCTTACCCTTAAGTCCTCCAGGATGTTTTTTCGCAAAGGGTCCATATATGGTAAATCTTGACTTGAAGAAAAGATGAGACACTGTATACAGCCTGATCCACAAAGAAACTAATGTTAAAGGAGAACTATGAGGTGAGTGATTTTCACTCATCCTCATAGTTAGAGCCGACCTGTGACAAAGAAGCTGTCACACGTCGGCTCAATGGATCGGGAAATGAGCAAACACATACTGTCGCTCGCTCACTTCCCGATCGTCTCCCTGCAGTGAGCGGTGACTGTCAGTCACTTCTCCCTGCAGGGATTCCCCCGTCCCCTCCCTGATCCTCCAGCGCTGAGTGAAGGAACGAACCGGGGAGGGGGCGGGCAAAGCTGGCTTTGCCTCTAGATAGGCAGAGCCCCCTGTCAGTCACGCAGCTAGATGGATCTCAACAGTATTGTCAGGATCTGCGGCGCTGTCAGTATATCGCGGGCAATAGCTTGAGCGTTAGTATATGCCCTTCCGTGACCCTAAAGAGAATTATAGGGAAAAACACTTCCCCCATAGTTCTCCTTTAAGACACTCACATACATTTGCAGGCACCACAAAGGGCCAACTTTATACCAAAAAATTTTGGTACACCTGACAAGTTCACTTTAAAGAATCATTAAAGCTAAATACCAACCACTAGCTTTTCATGTATTCTGGGGTGGCATCTGCGGCTTTAACTCTCCAGCATCTTCCAAAAACCGGAGTACCAGTTTTGGATGGACCGACTCCTTTAGTATGAAGCTAACACTCTGAAAACACTGCCCGCACTGTAACTCCTTACCTAAACAAACATTGGAGGGGACAAAATCTGGATCAGTTGCTCATGGCAACCAGCTTTTCTGTTTAATTTTCAAAGCTTAACTGAACAAACTGAAAAGAGAAGCTGATTGGTTGCTATGAGCACCTTGCCTGCTCCCGTTTTTATGAATCCCCCCATTGTTAGGTTCTAGCCTCTGCTCCACCCCATCCCCCAAAAGGTTTTTCAGCTTGCTGCTATGCATTGTCAAAGCCTCTAACAGTGACTCTAGTTAATTATCACTGCAGTCAGAATTTTTATGGTTAGCTGGTAAGTATAGCACAGGAAGTGAGGCACATTTTTGGTGGGTGGACAATTTTTTTTTAAAAGCACAACCACAGCAAACATGCTATGAAGAGATAACTTGCCAGATAAATAATAAGAATCACTGTGTACAACACATGTCCAATGCAAGAGGATATAAACAGATTTACTTTTTATTAAGACAAATCGCTGAATTTACTGCTGGTGGCAGCCAACAGAACATGGATATGGTATTGTTGCCTGTATATGCAACATAGTATATGTACTATGCTACAACACTGATGAACATGATGTAGAAGTATGTAATGTTACAATACACTTATACATTGTACTCTATATGGGCATGTAAGACACCATTTGTTTACAAACAGCTGGTTCCAGCTTTCTCAGGTTCCCTGAACTTCCTGTTGAGTACAAGATCACAAGGGACAGAGCAGTCGCCAGTAGCTATCCATCTACTAGCCATCCATCTACTAGCCTGGATAAATGAGGAGGGAGGAATGAGGAGCAGTAAACAGGGCAGCTGCTTGCCTTGCCTTGCCGTGCCTGTGCGTTAACGGAGAGACACACTGCTTACTAGCACACACAAGTGTGGCTCCGTAGGACCCTGGAAGGGAAGGGAGTCACTCAGAAAAAGGATATCAGGACCAATGCTCAGGGGACCAAATGATTCTGCAGGAAACTAAAACATTTAAACATCAAGGAGCAGCATCCATTGTAAGTGATTTAATCAGCATCTGAAATAGGTTGGCAATTTTGACTTTAATATCATTTAAAATTTGAAATACCAGAGGGCAATACCTTTAGAAGTGGTTTGGGATTTTTACAAACTATTCCACTGACTACAACAAACCTTGCTGGTAAGTTCAATGGGGAAAATAGGAGTGGGACACTTTCAAAGTGACATTCTATGATAGGACAGGGGTGTATAAAACACTAATATATTATAGGATTGCATGTGAACATGCTGTTGAAGATGAACTTGCATGTGATGGCTTCCAGATCATAAGGTATTCTTCATTCAATGTCAAGGCCCAAGGATTAAGAATTAGCCTTTGATGCATAAAACATTTTCCAAAAGCTTACCTTTCTGAGAGCTCCATGCCTTCATTTGTTTCTTTAAATTCCACGATGGTAAATGTATCCAACCCATTGAGGACATCATTGCAGAACCCCATTGTTATTCCATTGCCTTGGTCGACCTTGAGGATCTCTTGCTCAACCTCAGCTGTGTTCTTCTCCAAGTAATGACTACTTTCCTTGATTCGCTGCTGAATCATTGGTGTGAGTGGCATCTCAAAACTGAAAAAGCTATCTGGTTCATAGTATAAGGTGTCAAGTGATTCCACGCTATAATACAAGGAAGTGTTATCCAGTATGTTCTCAAACTGTGAGCTATATAAGTCTGTGGAGTCCTCAGAACATCTTTTGGATCTAAATGTGTCTTCATGTTGGTCTTCAGTTACAATCCTAGGGCTTAAATAAAAATATGTAATTAGTGATAATGGTTTATAACAGCTAATTGCTTAAAAAATAATATCTAAAGCCAAAACTTTTTGGATAAAGTGGTAAGGTTTTAGTAAATGTCTCATTTTTATTGCGGTTTGGGGAGATGTGCCCTGTTTTCCTTGGTATTCATTGTGACCAACACAGAATGTGATGAGAAATCCAACACTGTACAGTTATCACCAGAACAAGTGAGGGGGAATGTTCCAATGGGGACACCCTGTACTGGTGACAACTGTAGATTTCCCCTAATTTCATAGATTTCTTCTCAGTTGCTTTTGCGTCTCTAGGAAAGAACCAAAAGTAAATTAATACCCATTCCCTACTCCTAACCAAAACTGAAAAAGAAAAACACGTTTTGATAACAGTTACACTTCAAAGATTTTACAAGAATGTTTATGAGGATTATCATAAAGCTATTACAAGGAGGGCGGGATGAACCATAGATTGCAACCCCCCCTCTCCCATTACAGCCACCACAAGACAGATCCAAGTTTTTGGAATATCTAACTGATCTGCTTTCCTCTCTGATTCCTTAATTTTAACATGTGGACTTATCAGTACATTTACAAGCCATGTGTTTTGTTTACACTTTTACACTTTACGCAGTGTGTTTTCATGTAACGTGATAAAATATATCGAAAGCTTTCTTCTTTGTCTTTAGAGATTTTATACATATTTTCCTGTGTCTCCTTATATTCTTTGCTGAAAAAAGTCTGTTCACAAATCTCAATAGGTTAGGATGAAATGTACACAAATTAATGAGGAGTCTAAGCAGCTCCCTCCCTGGTTTCAAAGAAAGATATCATGTCTTTAAGGTGACAAAAACTGCTATGGTCTTGGTTTAGATAACTCGCAGTACTTGGGGAATCTTTTGCCACAAAGACTGTATTTATCAGTATATATTATATAGAAAAGAGAAAGGTGTGTGTGTGTGTTATGGGGGGGGGGGGGGGGGGGGGGGG